CTTCATTCCTGTCAGGGAAGAGCCGGGCAGCTCCTCCAGCTGGGAAGGGAGGAACTGGGCCTCCTGCCACTGCCCTTGAGCAGCCGCCCTCCCCTGTCATGGACATGCCCTACCATCAGTCCTGCTCCTGAGGCCTGGTGTGGGTGGTAGAAAGCTCAGGTGCTGGAGCGGGGCACAATCTGTCACCTGTTGGAGCCTTGAGTAAATCATTGCTGGGCACCTGCTTTGCCCCAGGCTCTGTGGGAGCTATGGGTGGGAGGCACAAGGTGGGAGTGGGGGGGTGGCCTATGGGAGCTGTTACAGGGACCGGCTATAGTCCCAGGAAGGTTGACATCCTCTCAGGGTTGACTCCTGGAGTGGGGATGGGGTCTCTTCTAGGCAAAGGGGCCCATTTTTATCCTAAGTGAGAAAGGGTTGCTTGTTTTTGTCACTGAGGTTCACAGGGCCTCCCCAGGACCCCGCTGGGAGATGAGATGGTTATGATCATCGTCATCATCGTCATTATTATTATTACTTGCGGTTCTGCAGACTGACTGAGGGCCTGGTGTGTGGAAGAAGAGCTGAGCTCCATCCCAGCCCTGGGAGCGTTGTAGTGGGGTAGATTAGGAGCTTGGGGCAACACTGTCCAGGCACCGTCCTCTGGAAGGGGCCTCTCTTGTCCTCTGGGCGAGCCGAGGGAGCTCACCCAGCCTGGGACTGGCCAGCCTGTGCACTGCAGCAGAGGCCCTGCTCCACAGACTACTGAAAAGGACATTGTTTAACTTTGTGGATATATAGATAATTGATTAATATTATATTTTAAAATACTTTTCTTTGACGTAAAAGTTCACTTTCTCCACCTGATGTTAAAAGAATTTTTTTTTTCTTTTCTCTTATAGTACTAAGGATTGAAGCCAGGGACTGACACATGTTAGGCAAGGGCTCTACCATTGAGCTACAGCTCATTTTGTTTTGTATTTTGAGACAAGATCTCCCAAAGTCTCTAAGTTGTCAGGACTGGGCTCAAACTTTTAGTCCTTGGCCAGGCATGGTGGAGCATACCTGTAATCCTGACACTTGGGAGACTGAGGAAGGAGAGCACCACAAGTTCAAGACCAGTCGGGGCTACAAAGAGAGCTGAAGAAAAAAACAAAAACAGGGCCAGGGAGATGGCTCAGTAGAATAAGCGCTTCCCTGGCAAGTGCAAGGATCTGAGTTCAATCCTTGGTTCTGAAAAAAAAAAAAAGTAAGCTCAAGGCCAGCCCAAACTACATAGTGAGACTCTGTCTCAAAATGACAAAAAACTTTTAGTCTTCCTGCCTCAGCTTCCCAAAGTGCTGAGATTGCAGTTGTGCATCACCATACCCAGTGGGTTCTTTCAGTGATGTCCTGCCTGGTAGGAGCAGGAAGGGCACTAGCTGGGGCACTGTGAGGAGGAAGAGGTGTGTGCATGTCTCTAGCAAGCTGCCGCTCTGCCCTTTCACCCTGTCTCATCCTAGATCCCAGCCTCATGACTCCTTATGCTATTGGAGGAAGTGCTAAGCTTCCTCAGGCCCTTGCCCACTCTGTGCTTGTGCCATGTGGTGCCACCTCGGCTTTTCCCAGAGCCCAGCTCAGTGCCACCTCCCTGAGCTGGAGCATGGGCCCCGAGTCCGGGGTCGTGTGCCCTGCTACCCACAGTGGGTGCTAATTCAGAGTTTTGTGTAGAGCACGAGGCAGGGACTGGGTGCCATCTTTGTCCCTAGGCTGCCTCTGACCTTTCGTGAAAGTTGCCCAGCACTTGGGTCTGGCTTCCTCCCACTTCCTGGGCAGTGGCCACCTGCCAGTGCCTAACTAGGCCGGGAGCTGGGGCACAATCTGGGGAGACTGCACCCTACCCACTGGCCTGCAAGGACAGGCAGTGCCTGAGCCTGAGGTGGCCCAGGCCAGGGACACTGCAGAAGCAGCAGGGAAGGAGTGGGAAAGGACCAGCAGAGTATGGGGGAGGCTGGGACTGAGGCCTCAGGACCCTGGCCCACCCCAGGGGCCCAGAGGACTATGAGTGCCTGGCATCAGAGCACCCCAAGGCCACGGGGCAGTGCTGGGGCAGGGCCAGCCAGTGCAGTTCAGTGGGGTGGAGTGTTGATGCAAACACGAGCAGATGTCTCCTCACTTGTGGGGGACTGGCAAGCAGACTTGGGACAGCCCCCAAGGCAAGCACACTAGAGGAATCTGCACCCCATGCCAGCCCACAAGCCTCAAGCCCCTCCCCCGTGCCCAGAGCCAGGACCCAGGGCTCAGTCAGAGTTAAACTCCTACAGTGGGGCCGGGGAGATGGCTCAGTAGGATAAGCGCTTGACTGGCAAACGCAAGGATCTGAGTTCAATCCCCGGTTCTGAAAAAAAAAAAAAAAAAACCTCCTACAGTGTTCACAGATGCCTGCTTGAAGTCTTGGCATGGTGACACCCACCTATAGTCCCTGCTACTCAGGAGGCTGAGCCACAATGGTCATCTGAGCCCAGGACTCCAGGGCCAGCCTGAGTACCAAAACAAGATGAAACAAAAAGTTCCATTTGCTGGGGGAGATCTGGGGCTCCAGAGGAGGGTTGGCTCTCAACCCCAGCTTGGACTCCATGCCCAGGGCTCACTCCCCTGTTACCTCCCTTGGCTGCTCACTGGCGCAGCCAGACTCCCATAGCCAGCCCTGCTGGGTCCACTCCACGTTCCCAGTGCCAGGTCCTCGCTGGGGTCATCTGAAGAACAGGGCTGATGACCAGTTGTGACCTTTACCCTCAGCCAAACTGCAGGGTGTGAGGATGGGAACCAGGCGGGAAGAACAAGGAACCCCAAGGTCTGAGCTGAGGTTGGGCTAGGGCAGCCCTGGCCTGGGAACTGGAAGCCCCAGAGTTTTCCAGAGCCATCCTCTTCCAGACAAGAGGGCTAGGCAGCCACCCCAAAGAGACAGTCTCACGGTGTCCCTTCCCAGTCCTCCCCAAAGCACCCCCAGACTCTTACTATGGGACAGCCCTTCGCAGTAGGGGTCATTGTTCAGCTGAATGTCAAAGTCCCCTGGTAGAGGACAGAAGTGAGCTGAGGATCTGGGTCTGGTCACCAGGAGCTCCCAGTGGGCTGGGAGAAGAGGACAGCAGAGACAAGGGCCTCTGTGCAGGCCCAGACTGAGCCAGGGGCTGGGCCTCTTCTGCTCTTTCCCACCTCAGCAGAGGAGGCCACCTGACTGGCCTATCCTTGTCCTGCCCGCCAGGACACCGGGACAATTCACCCCTCTTGCCTTGCCGTGCCTGGCTAGGCCACACACGGTGGGGCCTGGGATGCCAGGCAGGCAGGGGCACCACCCCTGTCTGACAGGGGCCTGAAGAATGGCGGGTCAGTGCCCCCTCCCCTGCCGCCCCTCTGAGGCTCACTGCCAAGCCATTTGGCACTCAGCCCTCCTGGAGCAGAGCCAGCTCTCATTTGCAGCCGGTGTTAATTAAGAGAGAGAGGTGCTGGGGGGGAGAGGGAGGGTTGCAGAGGGCAGCTCCAACAGCCGCAGCACTGCTAGGGCCTGAGGTGCCCCACTTCTCCCCTGCTGCCCCAGGCAGGCTGTGCCACAGGCCTTCCTCTTTGTGTCTTGGCTTTGGAGTGAGACAAACCTAGGTCCCACCCTCCTGTTCCCACCTCTCTGGGCCTCAGTCTTCTCCATAAAATGGGACAGTAGCCCCTCCCCATTGACCTTGCCGTGGTAGGTAGGATCATTTGCCTGAAGCACTCATTCTGTGCCTGGCCAGGCTCTTGCCTAGGCAGTAGAAAGGCCGAGACCATGTGCAATGCCAGTCCCTGCCCGCCTGCCCCAGCCTGCCCCAGCCTGCAGCCCCCTCTCCCATTGCTCAGCTCGCTTTCCTCTCGCCTCCTTGCGGCCCCCACCTTGTTCAGGGAGCACCCGGCCGCACCTCGACTCTCCATCTTAATTAGCTGCTTGTATTAATCTCACAAGTAACATGGCAACTTGCAGCCCTGGGTGTTCGGGCTGTGGAATTAATTATTCCCCAAGCAAAGAGCTGTCAGGTCTGGGAGACCAGCCACTTGGAGCCACCCGATACCACTTAGCAGCGTCCTCGGCTTCTGCACAGAGCCCAGGGTGCAGCCCTCATGTGGGAAGGGCCCTGACCAGTGTGGCCAGAGCAGGGCTGTGAGAGGAGCTGGAGCTCCAGCCTGGGAACCCAGACCCACCTGGGCAGCTCCGGGTCCAGGGCATGCCACACCCCGTTGGGTGAGTCCAGGAGTCACAGGGTATGGGGCACAGATTGTAACCAGAAGTGGGGGCCCAGGCAGGGCCAAGGATGAAGCTGTCAGCCACATGGGAAGTGGGTGGGACAGCCAGTCAGGCACAGTGAGATGGGCAGAGCCTGTGGGAAAGTGGTGGCCATGGCAGCCTTCAGTCTACATTGCCCGGCAGTGCAACCTCTGGTCCATGCCACAGACTGGGAAAGAATGGCACTGCTGCCAGCTGCCTTCTGGGGTAACTGAGGCCCAGGCGCCACCGTCACAACATGTTGGACCTTGACATGGCACACTGTATGGCTGGCAGCTCCCCCTCACCCTGGCTGTACTTTCTACCCTCATAGTTGTGAGCCGGAGGGCAGGGATCAGACTACCTGCCCCCTGCCACCATCCCTTCCTCAGGCCAAGCTCTGTTAGGCCTCATGGGATGGACCAAAAGAATGCTGGACAGAAAGACTCACAGTGTGTGTCCTTCACTGCCCTGGACCCCACAGGTGGCTGCTTCCTTGGTGGTTCCCCCGTGCCCTGTCTCTGCCTCCTTACAAACCTCAAAATCTGAGGCTATCAGGGGAGAAGAGTCCCCGCCCCTCCCACCTCCACGCCCATTACCTAGACTCTGCTCCTGCTCAAGGAGCTAGGAGGCCCTGTAGCTAAAGTCTGGGCCCGCTGCAGGCAAGACAGCCACCCCAAGACCCCTTTACCCCACATGGTGCCTGCCCCAGCCACTTCCCTACTGACTACCTCTCTCTCTCTCTCTCTTGCAGCCAACAGCTCCCTGCTTGGAGGTGGAGGTGGTGAGTGAGCATTCCTGAATTTGGGGGGTAGAGAGGTTGATGACATCTCTTTGGCCTTTCCTTTTTTGGGGGGTGTTACTGGCTATTGCACCTAGGGCCTTCACACAAAGCTACCTCCCCAGCCACTTTCCTACTTTTTCTTTTTTAGTACACAAATCAGACCCATAGTGATCCTCTTGTTTTCAGCCTCCCAAATGCTGGGATTATAGGCGTGAGCCACTACTTTCAGTCTCAGTCCTCATCGCAGTGCGGGGGGGGGGGGGACTGCATACCTGGGGATCAAACCCTAGTCCCTGCATCTGCCTAAGCAGGCACTTTAGTCTGATGAGCTATCTGGCTGGCCGTCCTATTTTTTATTTTGAGATAAGATCTCATTAAATCACTGAGCTGCCCAAGCTATGCTCAAATCTTTGATTCTCCTGCTTCAGCTTCCCAGAGTGCTGGGATTACAGGTGTGGCCCTCCTCCCCATGGCTGGCTTTCTGTCCTTTCCTTCTTTCCTGCCCCTATCAGCTCAGCCAGGCTTTGCCTGCTGCCACAGTAGCCAAAGCTGAAGGCCGGGATGGCAGGCCTGGCCCTATCAATGCCAGGTGCCCAAGGTGGGCTCCACCCTCTCCTGCCCTCACAGGGGTCCTGATTGCTGACTGCAAGGCACTAGGGGCCAGGGTGTGCAGGGACAAGCCAGTCCTGCCACCCATGCCCTGTGGCCTCCGAAGCTGTGTCATCTGGCCTCAGTTTCTCTACCTTGAGGGTAGTTATTGTCTCCCCTGCCCTGGAGCCTCAAAGGTGACTCTGCATCCCCAACAAAGGCTTGTAAAGTCAGGGGAGCCATGTTGCCCACCGCTAAGCCCCCAAGGACATTCATGTGTTCTCTGTCATCAGTTTGCCACCCAGAGGGCCAGACCAACGTGACATCAGAGGTCAGCTGGGTTCAGCTGCCAGGTGTGAGGTCAGCAGGAGGCAGGAGGAGGGCATCCGTGGCCCCAGCACCTCCCTGCCAGCTTGCCCAGCCTGGCCACACAGCCCCAGCCCCAGCCTGCCGGGCGGCTGCTGTCTACACAGGCAGCGGCGGGATGATTGGTGTGCCAAGGGGCAGGGGTTAATGCGCCGTCGGATAAATCCCAGGGGCCGTGTTTACGGCAGTGGTGGCGGGGCCCAGGCCAGGTTTTAAAAGGGGGAAAAATAAAAGGGGCAGTGGAGGTCAGGAATAAATAAGAGCAGCGCGTTAAGAGCTGTCGGTGACCAGCCAGGACGCAGGATGGGTCTGTTTGTGGCTAGAGATGTTTCCCCTCCCTCCCCTTCTCCCCCCTTCTCCTCTAGCTGTCCCTGTGGAGGTCATGGCCACCCAGGAGGGTGGATGGACTACAGCCTAGGCCCCTCTCCAAAGCCCAGCCCTCACCCACGGCTGTACCCACAGCACCACTCCACCCCATGCTTTAGTGCCCACTGTATGCTGGGCCCAGAGCTGGGTGTCAGCAATGTGTGCTGGGCACAGATAGCCTGGGCCCTGCCCTCTGAGCTCACTGTGTCACCCACCGAGCTCACTGTGTCATACAGGGTGACCTGGGCATGGGGTCACAGGCGCTGGAACTGGGTAGGAGTACAGCCTGTGGTGATAGGAGGGAAGGGTGTCCTAGGCAAAGCCAAGAAGTGAAGGAGAGTGTGGGCATTTGGGGGCTCAGCAGGTCAGACCAGGAGGAGCTGGCATTTAGTCAGCATGAAAATCTGAGGCTACAGAGGATCAGAAGGAGGTGTGGGCCTTCTCAGCCTTCAGGCAGCTCTCTGTGCCTCTTCTGCTCGATGCCCTCCCTTCACTCAGAGTGAAGCCAAGGGCCTTCCCATGACCACCAGGTCCTCCACCAGAGCCCCTCAGACTGCCCTCCCTACCCACTGGGCTGTACCCACCCCTGTGTCCTTTCAGCCGCAGGAACAGGCCAGGCCCACCTGTGCCTCAGGTCTTTGCACTGACTGCCACTGCCAGGAGTGCCCCTCCTACAGATGTCCTCGGGTGTTTCCCACCCTCCCCCAAGTCTTTACCTGAGGCTGTCTTCTCAGAGGGGCCCTCAGACCCCTGGACCCTCACCCTGCCCTCGTGTGTTCTCACTGAATCACCCAGAACTGGGTCTGGTGCACGTAGAAGCTGCTCCGTGACTGTTATGTGACTGAGAGAACTACAGGTGAAGGTGGGGGTAGGCTTACAAGGAAAAGGCTTGCCCTGAGGGCAGAGGGCCAGCCCTCCAGGTTGTAGACAGAGTAGGCATTGGCCCACGGGTGGCCTGGTGACCTCGCTCTGGAGAGCCCCGGACCACCAGAACCATCATGTTCCCACCGCCATCCCTCATGACTGCAGGGTGTGGGGAGGCCCGTGTGCGCAGCCTGCCTGATGCAGAGATGGATAGAGCATGGCGACCCAGAGGAAGTGGGCCCGGAGTCCAGCCTTTTAACGCCACCAGAGATTTATGGCGCCACCGGCAGCTCCCTGGGGCTGTCACTCTGCTAATGTGATTGGAACAGGTGGAGGTGGCAGGGAGGGGCTGTGGTGGGGACCCACAGGCTGGTGGAGTCTGGGACCCACATCTCCTGTCCTCGTGTCTACCCCCTGCATTCCCTGCGGCTTTGTTCCCCACCTCAACATGGCTGGAGGAGGGGTGTCCCTCAACTCCACCCTGACCTGGGGATCCCCATGGAGCCCCCAGGGCTCCTTGGCAGGGCTTAGGCCCCACTTGTACCCCATGTCCTCCACCATGTAGTCACTGATCCCCATCCACGCACTGAGCAAGCACTGTCCTGGCCACCCTCTCACAGTGACAGCAGCTGCCTCGCTCCTCAGCCTGCCCTGTCACCTTCTCCCAGCGCTGATCGCTGGCCACACTTGTACTTTATGTGTACTCCTTTCTGCCTGTGTCCATCCCCTGGGATGTCCCCTCCCTGAGAAGGGGTCCAGAGTCTCTGCTCTGTGCCCACCACTCTGTGAGCACTGTGCCACCCAGGGGGAAAGAGCCGGGGATCTCAACCTCACAGCGCTGGCTCTGGCAGCCCAGGGCCCCCACACCAATGCAAGCAGCAGAGGTTCATCCTGAAAGGCCAGGGTGCAAGCCATGGGGATTCAGGGTGAAGAGGACCTTGGCCCGAAGAAGCTGGGCTCCCCAACCTCAGTGACGGGCCCTAGGGACTGCTAGGGCTAAAGGAACTTAATCCTGAGGGTACAGGACTTGGGGCCTGCTTCACCCTGGGGCCGGACCCCCACCATGCAGGAGGGGTGTCAACATAGTGTGTAGTGTGTGTTGGGGAGCACCTTCTCCTCCACTCCAGGCTCTCTCCAGGTTGAGGGGCTCTCCTGAGCACTGGAACTCAGGACTTGGCTCTGTCCTCAAAGGATCCCAGTTTGGTAAGAGGCTTCTCATTAAAGGGAACATTGGATTTGGGCTCTGAAGGCAGAATAGGAGTTCTGCAGGTACAGAGGATGGAGAGGGCCATAGGGAGAGATGGCATCTGCTCCTGGGAAACCTCATGTCCAGGTGCAGCTGGTTGATGCTTGCTGGGCCTGATCCTCTCCCACCTCCCTCCTGGAAAGCCTTTTATTGGCTCAATAAAAAAATTTTAAGAACATCTCCTATTGTATGGTAAGAAGGGAGGTGGGTCCTAAATCAGACCAGGAATCGACAGGGCCCTGACGCGCGTCTCTCCTGTTTATTAGGACTGAAATGTTTACTTGGCGATAAGGAGTTGGCTTTCTCGGGGAGATTTGTGCGCTCTTTTTCAATTACCCCTCGTCTTTCTCTGCCACTTTTGCACTAAAGGGATAATAAATGTATCGGAGCGTTTCAATTATTCATCTAAATCATGACTGCGCTTGCCATGGCCAAGCTTTAGTGACAGATTAATTCAGGGCTGCCTTCTCCTCCCTGCGTAGCCGCCATCTCTGCTCCAGCCGGGCCAGCGCCTGGTGGACCAGCTCCAGGGCTGTACAGGGTGGGGTCTGGAGGTTCCAGGTGAGAGGGCGAGGCTAGATAGGGTGGTGGCACCCTAGGACCCGCCCCAGCCACACCCCCACCTGGGGCCTCCCTACAGCGGCCCCACCCTCACCTGCCACCTGGCATCAGCGTCAGGTGTGACATGCAGTTCCAGAAGGAAAAGCCTGGGTGACCCGGCTTCCCTCCAGCCCTTCCTGGCCCAGGGCCTTTGCACCTGTGGCTCTCATGCCTACAAGCTCCTCGCCCTCGCCACAGCTCCCTCCTGGCCAGCACCTTCTCCGTGTTGGACCAGGCTGTTCAACTCCACCTCTTTTGACTGAGGGCCTCTGTGCCTGGCTTTGTCCTCAGTGCTAGGGTGCAGCAGATGCTGCCTGCAGTGGTGCTGTTAGACTTTCCTGTGTGTGGTGCTGCTTGGCTTCCTAAGGGGCACACGCAGGGCAGGGAGGGCAGCCTGGGTGAACACAGCAACATCTCTCCCCAGGCCTCACCAAGGCTGCTTGGCTGTGCATGCAGCCAGCCACCCCCTGTTCTCCTCATGTCCACACTGCCATCCTGCACCCAGCTGTACCTTCTCTTCCTCTTCCTTCCCCTTTGCCTTCCCCTTCCCCTTCTTCCCCTTGTCCTTCCCCTTCCCCTTCTTCCCCTTGCCCTTTCTCTTCTCCTTCCCCTTCCCCTTCCCCTTGCCCCCCCCCCCCCACACACACAGGCTTTCCTCAGCACCTGGACAGGCCACTGAGGATTAGCATCCTCTGGGCACCCAGACCAGAGTGAGGCCCTCACCTTCCTGCCCTACACTATCTCCCATCAACACTGCTAATCCTGTTGGCTTCCTGCAGCCCAGGGAAAAACCCAGCCCAGACTGCTCTACTGAGCTGGTCTGACTTTGCACCACAGCCTCCGCGACCCCTGGATCACCCGAGCACTCTGCAGGCCCTGGCAGTGCCTGCTCAGGCTGTGTATACCCTGGCCAGTGGCTGCAGGGCTGAGGTCTGAGGGGCACAGGGAGGGCTATGGAAATGCCCACAGC